TGGTGATTACAATTTATCAAGTTTAGCTTGAAGTATTTAGTTAAGTTAAATTATCCAATTAAAAGAACTCAACAATTATGTTTGGCGTTTTCAGTTTAAGTTTACTTAGTTCCAACTGAGCATAATATATATATATATATATATTCATTTGTATCCAAGGCTACGTAACTATACTAATCTGCTACTTTTGTCTTATGTTCAATACCAGTTCAACTGTAGTATGATGAATTGTCTAAATATTTGAACATTAAGATATTGTTATTTAAATACAAAATTGTTGAACACACTTAACAAGAAACCTGATAATTCACCCCAACAACTAAATATGATTATTTAGACAAGGATGTCTAGTAGTTGTATAAATATTATATTGTTGTTTTGTAGTATTAAAATTCATCAATTAATTCCTTAAAAAAATTGTGACAAATTTATGTTTCCTCCTGTCAAAATATATTTGATTGAATAACTTTAATAAAGAAAAAAAAAACATAAACTGACTGATTTAATGACAATAAAATACAAACAGATTAGAGCGTAGTATTACAGAAGTGGAATATGTAAATACTGGTTACCTTCTAGACGACGTGAGTTGCTGACGGAAATATAGATTTTTTCCTCCTCCTCCCCCATCATTGTAAAATCAAATCAAATTAGATTTCAATGCAAAGTATACTTGTCTAAAAGACACTTATTTATATAGTAACTACTTCGAAGGATGAATATTTCAGGTAGATAGATAGCTTGATTTTTAAAGAAAATATTAAAAGTTATATAATCAAAATGTTTTAGAGTTTGATCTAGTATATTTCTGGTCTTAAACTTCTTATGATAGTCACCTGGTAAAATCATAAATGATCTTAATTCAAATTAATACTTCCCTTCAATAACGGTTACTGTCAGGTTATTCTATCAATGATCTCCATTATGATTGTTTGTTGTACAATAGTATACATCAATTTAGTCATTACTGATACAGTCATTATAAATACTCAGTAACATCAATCGATTCTAGAATCGAATATACTCAACAGTTAATACAATATAAATTATGTACAATCTTTATTTTGGTTAAATATCTTCAAATAAACATAAATAGCTTCGTAATAATGTTAAAGCTTTTAAAACCAATAAGAAAATTATTATTTTACTATCAGAAGGAGGGTTTTGTGGAGATTTTACTAATGTCAATAGTTGAATTCATGAGTCACTTGAAGCTAGACCACCATGAAAAACCTGGAGACACTGGATGGCTGTTTCATCCTAGTATAGGACTCTTCAGCAGTGAGCATTCACGATCCCACACACGAAACTAACCCAGGGCCTATTTGTCCCGAGTGCAAACCCTTAACCTGTAGACCACTGATCCAGCATCCAATGATGTCAATGTCTCACTTCAACCACTAGTGACCGACTTCAAGAGGTATTTCCTGGAGTTCTAGTGAGAAGTAGTGACCAGTGGAGTTCAACCGAGTAAGTTGTGAGATAGTAACTCACTGATGACAATGGTGTATGTGTAGCTCAATTTCGTGAATTGGTTTAAGTTAGACATTAACAGCATTGGATGTCAACTTAGTGGTCTACAGGTTAAGTGCTCCCGCGTGAGACCGATAAATTATGTATTCGAATCTCACGAGGCGAGAGTTGTATACTAAGACAAAATGATCATCCAATGTTTCCAAGTTTTCTATGATGATCTAGCTTTAAATGATTCATGAATTCGATTATTATTTTATTCACTATCATATCATACATAACTAACTGTACAAAATGTAATACCATTTTCTCATATTTTTTCTTGGTAAAGATGTATATATTTTGAATGAATAGAGATTTCATTTAATCATAAGTAAACTTTTAATCAAAAAAAGAAAGAAATAGAATTAGAAAATAAAATAAAAATTAATTTCTCTTTTTTTTTCTCCTTTTTCTTTTTGATGTGTGTATATGTTTTAATCAATGAATTAGTTTCTAGGAAAAAAAATCAAAAAAAAAAATCAAAGAATAATAATAGAGTAATTCTCTTTCTTCATATTGAACTACAATCATCCGTTTATTTAGTGGTTAGTTAGAAAATTCATTTTAAGCAAGAACAAGAACAATAACAATAACAACAGCAACAACAAAATTAATAAAAATTCATAATATATCTACATGTAAAATGTTCACTTGAAAGTATTTGTATGTTATTTATTCATTTGTGTATATGAACTAGTGAAGTTTGTAACTAGGATAGTTCATCACGCAAAAGTTTATGTTTTTTTTGTGTGTGTATATAGGCGGGGGGGGGTAAGGGGGTGGGGGAGGGATAAATTCTTTTTATTTGTTTTCTTACAAGATTTTAGTATTTTTAATATTGATTATTGTTGAGTATGTTCGATACATATATAGCAAAGTTTTCAATTTTTTTAATGAAAAGAAAATTGATTGAAATGTAATTTAGTTATTGGTCATGTGCTTATTGTCAAGTTGAAAAGATAGAAAATATGATAGATCATGCTTTAATCACACTTAAGTTCAACTAGTAAATGTAAAGGAGATAAATTAATATTAAGTTAATGGTACAATTTCTTACTTGAAGTGTTCAGAGTATATATATATATATATATATATATATATATATATATATATATATATATATATATATATATATATATATATATATATACAAATGGAAACAATATTTCTTTTAACTGAATATTAAGATTGAAAATATTTCATCTTTTATGTAAACGTATATTTAGATGTTTATTGTTTAAACTTTTGATTTGTCGAGTTCTTTGGGCTTAATGAAATAATGATAAAGCTTTCATTAATGATCTGAACAATGTTATCAGAGATTATTTCATGTAGAAATGAGCCATTTGGTTATTCTTTCTTGATTTTGAGTGATTATTCTCATGGTTTTTGCTATCTTTAGTTAAACGATAACAAATCATGATTAAGGTTAATAAGACACATTGATTTAACATTTGTGTAATAACTAAATAACTCATTTCTACATGACATAATCACTGATAATGTTGTCCTAAATGTTAATTAAAACTTTGATATTTAATCATCGAGATCAGAGAACTCGAAAACCATCAAATCATCCAAATGAGTTTAAAATCTTCACCGTTATTTCAATACCAGATCATGATGTTGAATGTAACTGGAGACAATAAAATAGTTATCGTTTTTATTAATGACATGAAATTATTCGTATTTTAATCGTTTAAAGATCCCCAACGTATTGAAAGACTGATATTTCGTTAAAGGATATTTTTTCCGAAGAATTCTCTTCAGATTCTACAATTCATGTATCTAAATTAATAATCTGAAAAATGGTCAGGTAAAAGGACAAAGTACATCGTTTATATCATGTGAATTCAGGATCGTCAAACAAAATGGAATAAAATTGTTAATGTTGATATGAGTAGTATAGAATGTTAACTTGAATCAGCTTATATGTTAAGTGAAATTTAAAATCCATAATCAAAATAAATATGGATCAGATAAGGTCGATCAAATGTTCAGTGGAAGACTATATTGTGTGAAAAATTAGTAAGACGTAATAAGGAGGGATGAATGCTAAGTGAATGAATCATGTATAGGGGAGATTATTAATGATGTTTAACCAATAATAATAATAATAATAATAATAATAATAATAATAATAATAATCCAAAGATTTGTGAAGAAAGATAACAGAGACAATTACAATAGACTACGAAAAGTGGTAATTACAATAGTCAAATTAGGTTATTCAATATCTAAGATTACAATTAATTAATTGGAAAGGAAAGGAGGAGTTGTTGAAGATATTTCTTCTGTATGCATAGCTCCAGTTTCTTCATCCAGATGGCTACTGCTTCAACCGTTGGTTTGTAAATTTTTTAAAATTATGTCATACACAGACATGAATTTTTGTGTGTACCTTGTTAAAATAAACATAAATGGTAGTCTAGCTTAAATCGACTTGTGAACTGAACTTTGAAGATAGACATAATTTGATTTGGTGCACTAGGCAAGTATAGTTTTATGCAGGGATCTTTGTATGACTATTAAAATCTGTATCCTAATATCCGAAACGAATTAGGTGATTTAAGATTGAAAAAGAGGTATTTTTTGGAATTTGATTACTTAAAACAGTGAAGCTTAGTAATAGATAACGAAATGTGTATATAGTTCTTTTACACTAGAAGCAGTTTTAAAGTCATAGACGTTATTTGTTAACCAACCATCGTAATCATTCATTACTATATGAAATACGATAAGATGTTAAAAATATGATGTCAGACGGTTAACTCAACCCCTAATCGTAAACCGTTTGTAAAGTTTGAAGCAGATCGCGGACATTTTAATGGGTAAGAAGTCGTAACTGATTGAATTTGTAATGTCATAAATGAGATGAAATAAATTCTTCAATTTTACAACTAACCAGCCGCTATATATTAAGCGTTAACCACAAAACCCTTTCTGATACTAATCAACATATGCTCACTAGTAACTGACTTCAAGAGGTATATCCTGAAGTTTTAGTGAGAAGCAATGATCAGTGAAGTTCAACCAGGTCTGTTGTGAGATAGTAACTCATTGATAACAATGGTGGATGTGTCGCTCAATTTCGTGGATCAGTTGAAGTTAGACATTAACACCGCTGGATGCCGGTCAGCTCAGTGGTCTAATGGTTAAGCGCTGTTGGGCGAGACTGATAGCTTCTACGTTTGAACCTTGCGAGGCGGGATCGTAGATGTGCACTGCTGAGGAGTTTCACAATAGGACGAGTTGGCCGTCCATTACTTCGATTTGCTCCATGGTAGTTTAGCTTCAATTGATTCATGATCTCAACTATTGAAGATCAGTCTAAGTGATACATATATTATATTGTTTTCAATTCGGTTTTCATAATTATTAAACATCTTTCTTCCATCAATTAATATAATAATCTTAATGATGTAATACATGATGTTTCTATTATATTATCTCTAAAACCTTTCAATGAATAATTAATTTCATAGGACAGTCAGCAGAGAATAATCAAAATCCATTTTGTTTAAAATGTCGACAAGCTAACGGAGTATGTTATCATTATTCTTCTAATCAAATATTAAATTCAAATGAAATGAAACAATATAAACGTTATGAATATAAAGATCATAAATTAATCCCTTTCAATAGTCCTGTGGATGTAATATTTAAAGAAATTCCTCAATATTCTGAAAAGTAAGTATCTATTTATTTAGTACTTTTACAGTTATTCTATAAACGTGTACATAATAAGTTCAGGACTAGGTAATGTGTAGTTTTCTACGACTTTACAGCACCTTTCTGATTAAAAACATGCAATATATATATATACCAAATGTTCAGTGAATAGTTTTCATTATTTTGCATTTTCACTTATTCAATTCATCTTAACACATGGTAATTCGGTTCGCTTAGAAAAAATGTCGATAACAATGAGCCTAACATGTATGGTAGTCTAGAGATTAGATGTTAACAGATGAAACTAGAGCTCTTGAGTTCACTTCTCAACAGAAGGGTTATGGATGTTTACTTTCATTAAGAATCCTCATACTAAGACAAAATGGCCTTCCAGTACTTACAGATTTTCAATGATTGTCTAACTTGGATAGGTTTGTAAATTCACTTTATATTATGGTTTATCAGACATTATATCCGAATAAACATACAACTAAAGTGAATGAAATGAACCACTTTCACAGGTAAATGTATATTTTTAGTTACTAACGGAGTCATTATACAAAACTGATAATCTAAGTTCTGTCTACTGGGTTATCATTCTTTTTTTATACCCTAGATGATAAAATGTGTGATACAACAATTATTAAAGAAAAGTGTTTGACAAAGTTTTTTTTTTAAATCTTCTGTTGAAACATTTCAACTTAAACTTGTATTGACAAAGCATAATGTTATACCGTTTTGTTTTTGGTTCCTTTTTTTATTACATTTCAGTACAGAGACATATGGATGCAGTTGTCCACATAATACTGGAATGTTAGTTTCATTTTCAATGAATGATATAACAACAAATATAAATCATAGTCATTTACAAAAACCTCATCAGTTTACATCATTCAATAAACTTGATGAAAATATATCCTTATCAACATATCAGTTTGTACAACAACAATTTCCTCAATGGTATTTTTGTAAAGCAATGATGGGTAAGTAAGTTAGCATGATTTAATGAGAAATAGTTGTTGTTATCTTTTTGCTTTTATAAAAAAGACTCAAATTGTCTTTCTGTCTCATATGTTACATAAAAAATAAAACAAATGTCCTAAAAAATATTTGACAGATAGTTTCCATTTCAACATTAAAAACATGAAGTTCAATGAAAGGATCTCTTTACCATTACGTAATCTAGTATTATAATCTTTCTATTGCATCATCTTGGTTATTTCTTTGTTCACATGTGCTAACGGAACTCAAACTTCAACAAAAAGGTCCCATATATATATATATATATATATATATATATATATATATTGTGAGATAGTAACTCACTGATGATAATGGTGAACGATGGCACAATTTCGTAGATTGATTGAAGTTAGACATTAACACCATTAGATGACGACTCAGTGATCTAGAGGTTAAGCGTTAGGTCCTAGGTTCGAATCTCGCAAAACGGAACCGTGGATGCACAGTGCTGAGGAACTCCACAATAGGACAAAACGACCATCCAGTGTTTCTTCGTTTTCCATGATGATCTAGCTTCAATTGATTCATGAATTCAACTATTAAAATTGCTATATTATCCACAAAACTCCTCTTTGGATATAAATATACGTTTGTATAGCATGATAATAAATTTGTTGAAAAGAGATCCCTTCGCTGAACTTCATGTTTTCTAGAAAAAATATTTGCTAAATTTGTAGTTGTATAGTGTTGTTCTCACTGATCATGGTGCTTTGATTGAATGAGATGTTTAAACATTTGAAATGAGTTGCTGTTTTTTCATTATCTGCTTAAAGCAAATATTATTTTCTCGGTTTAAAATGTTTGATTAATTTAAACACATTGATAGGTGAATGTTGCTAACTTGTATATTCAGTCTCAATAGAATTGACTGATGCATTGAATACTATAAAAACGAATCTATTACTATTACTATTACCATAAACAGTTTCTAGAGAGAAATCCATTTTCAGATTTATATCAAGCCCGAACTTCAGCTTGCCAAACAATGAAACACTTCTAATGTAAATATTAATGACTTATAAGAACAAGAATTCTTAAAGTTTTAATTAGAAACCTTGATCGGTTCAGTTCAATCATATCAAGAATGTGAAAGATGTTATTAGTGGCCATGAAATTCTAAAGTGTTGGTTATAAAACCTAGAGTAGTCACTGTTGTATACTAGAATCAAATATTAGTTTACTACTCCTTAGTTGTATAACTAAAGTCAAGTACAAATATATAATAATTCAAATTATTAAAAGAAATATTCCTTCCCATTAGATATATCAGTGATACTAGGGGATGTCTAACAATTAAGTATATATATATATATATATATATATATATATATATATATATATATATATATATATATATATTATGGTAAGATATTCTCTCTATTCCACTGCGTATGTTCTTTTGTTTTATCAATAATCAGACAGATTTCATCAAACATAAATAGGAGAAGAATCCATTAGTAATTCACCCAGTGTATTTATAGTAATCGAGGAACTAAATTGGGGATAACTAATTTCTTATATAATGCAACATTACAGAGTGTCTTGGTAAATTATGAAAACCATACATAAAATACTTCATTATCACATCTATTCATCATATGTCCTTTACATCTTTTATGATTCTTATAAATTTCAATTCATTTGTATTTCACTTTCTGTTTTCTTCAGTTTAATCTTCTCAGTTTTCTTTTGATAAGCATACCATTTTTGATTAGTGTTACATACTACTTCTTACATCTGTGAATATCAGTAGCATACATCACAAATTGACTCATTTATGTTGATTCTATCTCATATTTTCAATTGTTATTGTTTACATTGAACTTGTAAATCAAAATAGTTGACATTTTTACTTGGATAAATTATAAAATTATCCTGAAATATAATTGCAAGAACAATGCTGAATAATATTTCTCCTCCTGAATGATGTTGAATTCTTCTTCTATTGTTCATTTTGTTCATAAAGTTTTTCTATGTTTATGAAAAAAATAAGTTTGTACCAGATCAAAGGACATGATGAACAAGAGATGATATACTTTTTAGTAGACAATACGATGATGTTTGTCTTCTCTTTGTTTCACACACATAGTGATGCACAAGGTGATTGTTTTATTATTGAGTACTGTGTTATGCATCAAATGTGAGCTTGTCACATAGTGGTTGGCTGCTTATGAATGTTATATAATCGATTTCTACAAAATATATTACTGATATTTTTGGAAAGATCTCTGTGAAATTGTTTCTTTTAGACAAGATAATACTTATCATCGTTTAATAATAAGTTATGAATCCCTCTCTTATCAAATCATTATAAAAAACTATTTTGATTTACTTAGGAGGAAAAAATTGTAGAAGCATCTTTCTCTCGATTAAATCAACTGAATATTTAACCCTTGGCAACTACTTCTTAAATGAATTTTTTCCAAAAAATTTGAAAATTTTCACTAAGATAGATTACTTTTTAAATTAATACTGCATTTTTTTAAAATGAGGTAGACTTAAGCAAATATGTGGTTTATAAGTAAATATGGATAGTGGCTAGTAGGGGAGTCCAGGACGCACGTTTCGTTTTATTCAGGATTCATCGGCTGGATGTACCTGGCTATCTGTTATAACTTGTGAACCTGTGTGCCCTGTTTATTGTATAACTCAACGATACCGCTAATCAGAGAGCAGCGAATCATCGATCGAACCAGTGACGCATAAAACACATGCGAGCAGTCTAGAGTCCTTATCGGTCCTACTTTCCGCCTAGCCCTGCCAGTTAAGTCCAGAACATCAATCTCAGCCTCTGCAATATTAATCATTTATTTCAAACATACTCGGTTTATATACCAACCAGACAGACCACATCGTACCATAAAATAGGAAAAAACATTTGTACAAGATTTGGCCAGATGTAGCTGTGAATGAGGGAGATAGTAATTAATAGGCAGGCCATAACTCAAAAATGGTATATCGTAGACTAATAGTTCATAGGTCAAACTGAATCTCATAATAAGAAGGACATGAATATGAATAGTTTAGTTACATAACAATTATACGATAAAAATATCCGCATAGTATTGGTCCATAAATGGGTCCCAAAAATTACCTTTCATTATTCTTATAAAGATATAACATTATCAGGACTCAGTAGCTAAGTGGAGAACGCTAAGCGAACGGTACTGGGTTTGAGTCCCAGAGTGAATATCAACTCCGAGATGAAAGTACATTCAGCTGACGAGTCTCAAATAAAACGAAACGCGCGTCATGGATTCCACTGCTAGCTACCATCTATCTTTGCTTATAATACTCGTGAATTAAGACAATATCGAAGTAATACGCACAGTATGCATATATGCGAATAAGAAATTGATCAACTGCAGTCCTAATCATTAATGGGAAGATTCAAGTAAACAATACCAAGTGGATTTAAATATGTGGTTTGTTTCTTAATTTCTAAACTTCTCAACGTATTGTTGACTACAAATATTTAAATATCATATTATTTTAACATTGGGTGTAACATATCCTCCTTGATAATTAAAAAGCAAACACTGTACATGAAGTTCATAACACAAAAACTCATTAATTATAATGTTTCTTAGAAGTTACATATTATTGATACTTAATAATAGATTGTATTTATTTTTTAAACATAATATTTATTGACTCAGTTGGTTCACTTAACAACTGTACTACTATTAATAATTATATGTTTGATATCATTTGTTAAGATGGAGTATATCACTTAGCCCTTTAAATCTTAATATATCACTGTTATGTTTATTCTTGACAAAGTAACATGATAGTGTATATTATGATTTAGATCAGTTCTCAAAAGCAAACTAACTTCATTGATTGATGTTAGTAACTAGTTTTCAACTTTCTATATCGTTTGAATATTAAAGCACTCTTAGCACTACATATATGATCATTTTAGAGTATTTGTTTTGTTTTTTTTGTTTTGTAAGTATATCATAAGCGATTATCTCAGGTTTTTGTATATCTTCATGTAGTTCTGTCATGTATATTGTACAATGTTAAAAATGGCTGTTTCAAAATCATAATTCATATTAAGATGGTGATTATTAGCCATTTTCTATCTAATAAGTTTATTCAAAACATACACAAAGGGAAAACCAAGGTCCTCAAACACAACACGGAGAACAGCAATCCAATCACTCTTGATGGCGAAACTCTGGAAGACGTGGAATCCTTCACATACCTGGGAAGCATCGTCGATAAACAAGGAGGTTCAGATGCAGACGTCAAGGCGAGGATTGGCAAAGCTAGAGCGGCATTCCTTCAACTGAAGAACATATGGAACTCAAAACAACTTTCAACCAATATCAAAGTCAGAATCTTCAATACGAACGTCAAGGCAGTTCTACTGTACGGAGCTGAAACTTGGAGAACTACAACAACCACCATCAAGAAGGTACAGGTATTTATTAATAGCTGTCTACGCATGATACTCAACATCCATTGGCCGGATACCATCAGCAACAGCCTTTTGTGGGAGAGAACCAACCAGCTTCCAGCTGAAGAGGAAATTAGGAAAAGACGATGGAAATGGATAGGACATACATTGAGGAAATCATCAAACTGCATTACGAGACAAGCGCTAACTTGGAATCCTGAAGGGAAGCGGAAAAGAGGAAGACCAAAGAACACATTACGTCGGGAAATAGAAGCAGATATGAAAAAGATGAATAAGAACTGGAAAGAGCTTGAAAGGATTGCCCAGGACAGGGTTGGATGGAGAATGCTGGTGAGCGGCCTATGCTCCTTCACGAGGAGTAACAGGCGTAAGTAAGTAAGTAAGTAAGTTTATTCAAAGAATTTTAATGGTAATCCCTGAAAAATCTCTATCACAATAAAATACAGATATGAGAAGAAGGAATAAATTCTTTTCAAGTTCTACAATTACATATATCAATTAGTGATCCAATTAATGGCCAAGTTTTACACAAAATACATCGTTTAAACTATAGCTTATGAATTTTGGATTATGATATAAAAAATTCTTTAAGTGAAATCATGAACCGATCACCACGGATAATCGAGAGGCAACGTACGGCCATTTTGTCCTCATACAGAACTACTCGACAATAGACATCCACGATCCCACATGTGGGACTCAAATCTAGAACCTTCGATCTCACACATGAATGCCTAACCTCCAAACCATTGAGCCAGCGTCCAACGATGTTAATGTCTAACTTCAATCGATCCATGATCTTACGTGATCCTTTATTCATTATCTTCAGTGGATAACTGTCTCACACCCGACACATATTGGGCTCCACTAGTCACGGCTCTTCATTATATATATTACAAACAATCTTAAATTCACATGCCATAATTATTGAACGATGTATATTCCTTCAAACTTGGCCATTTATTGGATTATTAATTTGGATATATAATTGTACAACCTAAAGAGAACTTATTCAAAACTATGTTCTCTATTCATATATCTGTATTTTAACTTACATTTTAGTATTCTTTTCGTCAAATAATACTTTCCATGTGAATAAGACAAATATGAATGCAATCATCATCATCATCATCATCATCATCATCATCATCATCATCATCATCATCATCATCATCATACCATTACTCTATGCTTTCACATATATTACTTAAATTCATTTCAGTATTTTTTTTCTTCTATAGAATATAATTTTTATTTTTGTTTATTTTCAGTCGATTTATGGGAATACTGTAACAATATTGATTTATTATGTCGAACTAAAAATGCACGTTGTATCAAAACGGATAATGAATTAGATTTACTTCAATTTACATGTCAATGTATACCTGGTTATATACCAGTTTATCAAAATCATTTAGATTATCATGAATGTTGTAAGTAATCTTAATTGTTTTATTTTATAGATAAGATTTTTTTTAAAAAAAGGAATAATTATTTCATTAATGTGATGTACTACTGAGTTGAGTAGATTTTTAAGTAATCAGTATTTAGTATCAGTGGTCTAGTGGTTAACTGTGCCAAAAGAAGCACCATCACAAGGATTGGATCACGGTCGATACACTGGATAAGATTCAAGAAAGGAGGAACAAGAAAGCAGCAATCAATACCAGTCGAACAAGAGCAGAAAAAGTCAAGGCACAGGCTGAATACACAGAAGTAAACAAGCAAGTGAAGAGGAGCATCAGAACTGACAAACGTAAATACGTCGAAGATTTGGCATTGACGGCGGAAAAGGCTGCCAGAGAAGGAAACATGAGACTGTTGTATGACACAACAAAGAAACTCTCTGGAAATCACCGTAAACCAGAACGACCAGTGAAAAGCAAGGAAGGCAAGATAATCACCAACATTGAAGAACAACGAAACAGATGGGTAGAACACTTCAAAGAACTCTTGAATCGACCAGCCCCACTGAACCCACCCAACATCGAAGCAGCACTCACAGACCTCCCAATTGATGTTGGCGCACCAACAATTGAAGAGATCAGCATGGCTATCAGACAAATCAAGAGTGGCAAAGCAGCAGGACTAGACAGCATTCCAGCAGAGGCACTGAAAGCAGACGTAGCGGCAACTGCAAGGATACTCCAAACTCTCTTCAGGAAGATCTGGGATGAGGAACAGGTACCAAAAGACTGGAAAGAAGGACTTCTAGTCAAAATACCAAAGAAAGGCGATCTCAGCAACTGTGACAACTACAGGGGAATCACTCTACTTTCAATACCAGGAAAAGCCTTCAACAGGGTATTGTTAAACAGGATGAAGGACTCCGTAGACGCCCAACTTTGAGACCAACAGGCAGGATTCCGTAAGGATAGATCGTGCACAGACCAAATCGCAACTCTACGGATCATTGTGGAACAATCAATTGAATGGAATTCATCACTATATATCAACTTCATCGACTACGAAAAAGCACTTGATAGCGTGGACAGAACAACCCTATGGAAGCTTCTTCGACACTACGGCGTGCCTCAGAAGATAGTCAATATCATACAGAATTCCTATGATGGAGTAAACTGCAAAATCGTGCATGGAGGACAGTTGACAAAGTCGTTCGAAGTAAAGACCGGTGTCAGGCAAGGTTGCTTACCCTCACCCTTTCTCTTTCTCCTGGTGATCGACTGGATCATGAAGACATCAACATCTGAAGGGAAGCACGGGATACAGTGGATAGCTAGGATGCAATTGGATGATCTAGACTTTGCAGATGATCTGGCTCTTCTACCGCATACACAACAACAAATGCAGGAGAAGACAACCAGTGTAGCTGCAGCCTCAGCAGCAATAGGTCTCAATATACACAAAGGGAAAAGCAAGATTCTTCGATACAACACAACATGTACCAATCCAATCACAATTGACGGAGAAGCTTTGGAAGATGTAAAAACCTTTACATATTTGGGCAGTATCATCGATGAACACGGTGGATCTGATGCAGATGTGAAGGCACGGATTGGCAAAGCAAGAGCAGCATATCTACAACTGAAGAATATCTGGAACTCAAAACAATTAGCAACCAACACCAAAGTCAGAATTTTCAATACAAATGTCAAGACAGTTCTACTGTATGGCGCGGAAACCTGGAGAACTACGAAATCCATCGTCCAAAAGATACAGGTGTTTATTAACAGTTGTCTACGCAAAATACTTCAGATCCGCTGGCCGGACACTATAAGCAACAACCTACTGTGGGAGAGAACAAATCAGATCCCAGTGGAGGAAGAAATCTTGAAGAAGCGCTGGAAGTGGATAGGACACACATTGAAGAAAGCACCGAACTGCGTCACAAGACAAGCACTCATATGGAATCCTCAAGGTCGAAGGAAGAGAGGAAGACCAAAGAATACATTACGCCGAGAAATGGAGATAGATATGAGAAGAATGAACAAGAATTGGATGGAACTTGAAAAGAAGGCCCAGGACAGAGTGGGTTGGAGAATGCTGGTCGGCGGCCTATGCTCCATTGGGAGTAACAGGCGTAAGTAAGTAAGTAAGGTCTAGTGGTTAAGCGCTCGCGGGGCGAGACCGTGGATGTGCACTGCTGATGAGTCTCACAATAGGACGAAAAGGCCATCCAGTGCTTCCAGGTTTTACATGATAACATCGTTATAATGAAATGTTAATACAAATCTGGTAAAGACAAAAAAAGTTTACTGTTCAGACTAATAACACTGTAGTTGTTTAGCTGTGATACAAATGTCTTATCAGTATGGGATCGTGAAGATTATTAAGTTTTTGATTGAGATCATGAATCGATTAGTTTTAGACCACAATTGAAACACCTGGAAGCACTGGACGGCCGTTTCGTCTTATTGTGGAACTCCTCAACAGTGAGCATCCACGATCATTGAACTATGATGCACGAAAGGCTGGGCTATGGTGATTTAATTATTATTTAATATGTTAACACAAAGGTGAAAGTAATGGGAGGAGGTGGTCATCGTCAAATGTCTTGATAATAAATTAAACAATGCTTCCAATGACTCCAAAATAAGTATTGATTCCCGTGTGAGATGATATCAATACATCACAATCATTTTTTTCGATTACATTTTAAAATTGATACAAGTTGTCACTTCAGTAAATGATCAGAGTTGAGGCTTTTTGTGGAGATTGTAGTAAATTAATAATTGAATTCATGAGTCGATTAAAGCTAGATCACCATGAAAAACCTGGAAGCCATGACCAACGGAGTTAAACCGGGTCTATTTTGAGGCAGTTACTCTTTGAGAACTATGGTAAACGGTGGTACAATATTGTGGATTGGTGGAAGTTAGACATTAGCACTGTATTATGGCGTCTCAGTGGTCTAGAGGTTAAGCGTTCGCGCGCGAGATTAAAAGCCCTGTGTTCGAATCTTATGAGCGGGATCATGGGTGCGTACTGCTGAGAAATCCTACACTAGGACGAAACGACCATCCAGTGTTTCCAGGTTTCCAATAATGGTTTAACATCAATAGGTTCCTGGTCTCAATGAAATATGTCTTATGTTTGTTAGTATTCCAAATACAAAATGCTTAATTGGCTTATGATCAAGAATTTGACAACATGTAGTGAAAATCAACGACTGATGATGTTATGAAGAATAAATCGGATTTGTTATATGATTTACTTACCTTTAAATTCATGAACAGATTTCTATGTTTGAACTGAATAGTACATAGTCAAGAACTCATTATAGAAACACGTATTTGCAATAACAAATTGATCAATTGTCACTGATCTAATTTCACTTTTTTGATTGTATCATATCAGTTGAAATGAATACTTAATAGCTGAGATAATTTATTAAATAATAATTAATTAACAATACATTTAATGACAGACTTTATATGTACATATATCCCATCCTATTAATTGCTTACTTATTAAACAAATTAGTATAATAATAAGAACTGATTATGCAGACAATACACAAATCGATAACAAGTTGAGTTACTTCTCTTTATTATATCTCATCAATCTGTATGAATATCAGAAAGCAGAGCCTATACCTGGTATTGGATTGAGATCTGAACATAATCGTTATTGGTTTAATTACTAATGGGATAAACGGAGTCATAATAGTCATCACGTTTTTAACATAAAATAAACAACATAGTGAATTTAATAAATACAGATTAATTGTAGTTAAAGGATAAGATATGTAATACTCAAATTGTAAAAACACAATGACTTCAATTTTAAGCTAATAAACTTAACAATATATAACATACAACAATGATTTATACTCATTCAAAGTGGACAACAGACATATGACAACCGTATAAATGAACTCGAAGCAGAAACATTTTTTACAGTTGAGATCACGAACAGATCGTAGCTAGGGTGCAATGGGCAGGTGTTGTGGGTGAGCGTTGCTCAAAAATCCCATACAAAGATGAAAACCACGTCAAGTACTACTAGTTCTTTAATGGCGATCTAGCCAAGATCAGTTCATGATTTCAATTGTGGAAATACTACGATCTCCAGAAATCTATCATACTTAAAACACTTCAATTCTTCTATCAATATGATTTGGTTTGCGGGTATCTGATTTCATAGCATACTGTCTTTTTGGCAATGAGCCTGTATAGAGACCTATATTTTTAATACTTCCAGTGGTATAATTGATATTCACTAGTAAAACTAATCCAATGTAAGGTTACATAGTTCTAATCAGATTCAAAATGGTTTTTCAATTCGTCACGCTAACTAACATAAAACTACAATTACAAACCGGCTAGCAGTTGAATCCAGGATGACTGTTTCGTCATTTTTAGGACTGTTCACCTAAACGTATCTGAACCACATTGTTGACAGTCACATCGATACTAAAACAATGTACTTGTCGCTTCAAATGCTTAGCATCTTATTCACTTAACTGCATACTCTGTTCCTTCCTCTGTCTTCTTGTGGTCAACTGGATTATGAAGACCTCGACATCTGAAAGAAAGCACGAAATACAATGGACAGCTCAGAATCAATTAGAAGATTTGGACTTCACAGATCACCTAGTCCTCGTATCCCATACACACGAACAAATGCAGATGAAGACAACTAGTATGGCAGCAGCCTCTGCATCAGTAGGCCTCAACATACACAACGGGAAAACCAAGATCCTCAGATACAACACGGAGAACACCAACCCAATCACACATGATGGAGAAACTCTGGAAAATGTGGAATCCTTCACGTATCTGGGAAGCATCATCGAGGAACAAGGAGGATCGAATGCAGACTTAAAGGTGAGGATTAGCAAAGCAAAGGTCACATTCCTTCAATTGAAGAACATATGGAACTCAAAACAACTTTCAACCAATATCAAAGTCACAATCTTCAATATGAACGTCAAGACAGTCCTACTGTATGGAGCTGAAACGTGGAGGACTACCACAACCATCATCAAGAAGGTACAAGTATATATAAACTGTTGTTTACACAAGACACTCAATGTCCGCTGACCGTATACCATCAGCAACAGCCTACTTTGGGAGAGAACAAACCAGCTTCCAACTAAAGAGGAAATTAAGAAAAGACGATAGGAAAAGCTAGGACATAAACTAAGCAAATCATCAAACTGCATTACGAGAAAAGCCCTCATTCGGAATCCTGAAAGGAAGCGGAAAAGTGGAAGGCCGAAGAACACATTACGTCGTGAAATAAAATCAGATATGCAAAGGATGAATAATAACTGAGAAGAGCGGAAAAGGATTGCCCATGACAGGATTGGATTGAGAATTCTGGTGATTGGCCTATGCTCCTCCACGAAGAGTAACAGGCGTAAGTAAATAACTGCAGTCAATAATACAAATGAATTATCATAAGAAGAACTTCTCACTTTTATTTAGATATATTTCATCTTGAAGAAGATTTGATATTTTTATTTCAATGTGATATAAATATGTACATATATATTGTTAATTTTTAAAAATTGATTTCAGTCCGTCAACTTGAAGCGAATCATTCCAGCTGTTCGTCATGTATTCATTCAAATGGAAAATGTTATACAATGAATGAACAAGACATTGAATCATCGATTGGTTGTTTATGCCCAAATAATCTTCAATCTATAATAACATCTTCAACACAGACTAACTTAATACATCAACAACAACAACAACATAATAATAATAATAATAATAATAATCCTATTGATAGTAATCATGATGGGATCATAAACAATAATAATAATAATAATAATAATAATAATAATGATAATGATAATCATTTACAGAATAATTATAAATCAATGCTATCACAGGCAACAATCATGGAATATGAAGTGTGCGGAGAAAATTTAGGTAATTACATCTATGTATAAACAGTATATCAAATTAAATCTTCAATTCTATTAATTATCTTATTATTTTATATTAGATGAGAATAACTGCCAATTAATAAACAGACTTAATTGTCATCTAATCAATAATAATTGTCATTTATTCAATAAATGGCTTATTTACAAGTTGAACTTATATATGTATTCTTGTTAAACAGATAATAGGACATGGTAACAATAATGTCAGGTAAATAAAAATTCGGAAAAAAAAAAACGATTGATGGAATAATCTTGTCAACAACAAAAAAAGTCAAAACAAAAAGATCATTCAAAAATGAAGAATAGTTGAGGGAATAATTGTTTTTGCAATAACTTCATCATTATCATCATCAGGCTCTACAGTTATAAGTCCATAATTATTGCGATATTTTTACAAAGGCCAAAAATAAGGCATGTATTAATTTTTATTATTATTATTATTATTATTATTATTAGTGGCTTTATTCAAGATCATATTTTTTGGTACAATATAAAATTCTCAGCACAAAGTATTTCAGCAAGTTTCCCTTTCTTATTTCCTGATTAATTCTTGCGATAAATATTGAGTGGTGGCCAGTTAGATGTTAGCGGTTCAGGAATCGACATCTGATAAATGTATATCCTTTTCGATGCATATTACCAGTAACCAAGATGTCTCTGATTGAGCTCTTTTGTAACTTGTACAGCGTAATGTTGTAAACTTTTCACAAACGCACCTGAATAGCTTATGAGACTAATAGGCATATTGATGTGTTAAAGCAAACAAGAAAATAGATAACTTGTTGAAATCTTCAGATGGCAGGAACAGGTAGCCCAGATATTCAAGCAGGCCGCCTGTAACTGAATTGCGATAATAATAATATTGTTGTGTGAATATAATATGAAGTAAGGGGGTGTTATCAAGATGATTACAATAAACGAATTTGGGGTTATGGATGTGAAGATTGACATAGAGGTAACAAAAAAAGGGGGGTAAGATGTTTATAATATTCAGTTTAGGTATCCGCTGATGCAGTCGTGGGCCAAGGTAGACGCTGGATACATAAGTTTGGCTTTCTGGAGTTGATTCAGATGGCTTCGGCTATGTAGACCAATCGTAATCTAGCTCCTTGAGGTAGATATTTTGGAACTTGTTATAAAATAGAGAAAGCTTCCTTTATTTTGATTTGATGTTCACTGTCTACCATGTGAGAAAGAATACTGCTGTTAATCGATTTAGTAACTCCTTTTTCATGGAATACGTTTACGAACACGCAAGGATAAAGCATTCTGAGTACGGCTTATGTAACTAGCTCCACAGGATCAGTTGAATAAATACATATATGGAGGAGCACATCTTCGGTAACCTTTACTCCAAATCATTCTGAACTTTATTGAATGACCTTTCTAATTTACAAATAATACAATTTTGAAGTATATATAAGTCGTAACAGATGCAAATATTCACCAATTTTAACACATAACATTGTCAAATTCATTAATACATGCCTTATTTTTGGCCTTTGTAAAAATATCACGATAATTATGAACTTATAACTGTAGAGCCTGATGATGATGATGATGATGATGAAATTATTGCAAAAACAATCGTTCGCTCAAATATTCTTCATTTTTTTGATTATATTCTATGGGGATTTTTAAACAACAAAAAGATAAGTCAGAAATAAATAACATAAAAGTAATTGAAATGTTTTGTATAGTTTAAGATGTTTATTTTAAGATTAATAAATATTAAATCATAGAATGATGTTAAGTTGAAGAGATATATACTAGGACAAAACAGTTGTTCAATGCTTTCAGATTTTCAATGGTAATCTAGATTACATTAATTCATGAATTCAACTATTAAAAATCGATCATGAGTCGATAACTGTTTTGTACTATTTTTCAGACTTATCAGTGATTCACAATCATGATTTGATATAGGCTAATGTTTATTGAATAATAAGTCTTATAATGATCAGGATAGATGTGGACTATAATTTATAGTGTAGTTCGTTTATAATATAATACTATATAATGTTCACTTTAAAATAACTCTTTATTCTTTTCATTAGTTCATAGAATATCATTATTATAAATAATTCGATAAAATAAATTGTATACACTGACTATTATCTTGAGTCAGTAGTGAATGTCATAGTCAGTAATTTTATTACAAGTTACATATAGGTCTTACTATTGAATGTTTTCAATCAAAAGACTAGTTAAACGTGACATTGATCATTGCTAAGTGATCGATCACATGTAAAAACATTTCAAAGGGACTAACTGTTTTAAAAAACATTTCAGTTATTAAAATGTAATCAACTATGTACCAATTACTTTATTACTAATGTATAAGAATGTAAAGTTGAGTGATGCGGTTTCGAATCCTAAGATCAACAGTTCACCATGTTGATAAGTATTAAATGGTATAAAGTCTAGATTGATCAAGTTTCATGTCGATTGCGCTCAAATATCAAATATTTCCAGTAATCACCGATACAGATAGTAATCATTTGTTTACCAATGATTTGCACAAGTATTAATGAGTAACCTAAAATGAGAATATAGTATATCAACAAGATAAGTTTAAAATATCACCGTTAGATGTTGGTTCCATGAATTGTAAACGTTTTATTCACCTTAAATTCGCATTAAAATTCAACTATATCCATAGAATTTGTCATCTGTATCCTTATACTACATCTCAATATTGATTTTTATATTGAAACTCAAAATGTAATACTTATCATTTTTAACTGTTAGATAGTTGTTACATATACAAGTGTTCTTCTATTATTTTTTTTCCCGCCTAATTATTGAATTATATAAATTAATTTTGTAAGTATTACTACTTTTGCTTTGTTTTTCGAAATTCTGAACAAATGTAGCCAACATCATCATGAGTTACTTTTCTATTGATTAATTTTTTCCTACACGTGATATCATTAAATTGAAAGAGAAAATAATATTTATTCAATGTCATTGAATATTATAAAAGATGGCTATTGATTTAATAATTCTAATTATTATATTATGAGATTAAATAAAGATTAATCGTCATCGTCATTATCACCATCGTCAAGGTTAAAATCATCATCATCATCATCATCTCATCATCATCATTACATTCGTCATCAGCATCGTTGGTATATTGTTGATAGGGAAGAAAATGTGACGAGATAATCGACTTTTTTTCTCTGTTATCGTTTAATGTATTCGTATATATATATATATATATATATATATATATATATATAGGTAAGGTAGGTAGGCAGGTAGATAGGTAGGTAGGTAAGTAGGTAGATAGATAAATAATTCACTGAAAATAGATTATAATGGTTGCAAAGTTTCATTTTTTATTGTTGGTCAATAACCATTGTTGATTTTATGATAATCATTATATTAGTTGTTATTGACATTATTATTCATTAAGTAAGGTGATAGGCAAGTTAAATAATAAAGACTGTAATAACAATAATATTGGTAATCTAATTTTCATACTTGTTTTTAATGATGAATCAAAACAAAAAATAAATATTGAAATTTCGATAAGTTAGAAAGCAAAAAAAAATAACGGATTACAAGTCTTGTATAGTTTTCATATAACAGGTAATTAAATAAATGAAAATAACTGAGAGAGAATTCTCAGAGTTCTAGTAAGAAGCTGTCACCAGTAGATCTAATCCGTGTCATGCGTGAGGCAGCTAACCACCGATAACAATGAAAGGTGGTTGTGTAATATCGTGGATTGTTTGAAGTTAGACATTAATACTGTTGGATGTTGTCTCAGTGGTCTAGAGGTTAGACGTTTGCGCGTGAGACTGAAGGTCGTGGGTTCGAGTCCCTTAAGTGCGAGATCTTGGATGAGCACTGCTAGGAAGTCTCATGCTAGGACTTAAAGACTGTTCTTTGCTTCCAGGTATTTCAATGGCTGTTTAACATTGATCGATTTATGATCTCAATCAAAAAATAAATGAGACCAGTGATAATATGGGATTTATGTATATTTGTGTGGAAATTAGGATCGAATATTGTCATGGATGCTTGCACATATCCACATTTACGCAACTAAACTTTAATAAATGAAAATGATTGTTTTTTCCGTCACTGACTCGGATTTTTGTGAAATAACTGTTGAGTTAATGTTTCAGCAGAAATGTGGGAATATTTCGTAAAAAAACAAATAGTGAATAGCAATCGAATCCAAGTAAGCAGTTTCGTTTTTATTTCAGATTCACCAATTAAATTTTCCTTCAACAACTCATTATTGATGTTTGTGATGAGATTTTAGACACAGTACCTTTTCTTTTCAAGTGTTCAACACATTATCAATTGAGTAACTAAGTTCAATTATCTACTCATTATTACAATTGGCAAAAGTCTAATTTATTAAGTTTACTGAGACTGATTTAAATTCTATTCTAAATTAGAGAGAGGTTTTATGGGTATTATAGTAATTTAGTAGTTGAATTCATAAGTCAGTTAACGCTAGACCATCATAGAAAACCTGGAAACACTGGATGGTCCTTTCGTTCTAGTATGGGACTCCCCAAAAGTGCACATCCACAACCCCACTTTGCTAGATTCGAATCCAGGACCTATCAGTCTCGTACACGAACGCTTAACCACTAAGCCAGTATCCAACGATGTTAATGTCTAACTTCAATCAATCATTTCTTGTTCTTGTATTAATTAACTTCTATGATTAAGTGATAGATCTATTCTAATTTAATCTTTTACAAATTAAACTCAACAAGTTTTTATTTAAACAACTTTTTTTTTTAAATCTCTCTTTAATCTCATGTAAACTGTTTGTTTTTCCCCCACCCCACCCCACCCCATCCCCAACACACACCACTCCCACCCTCTAGTACATGTATTTTGTCAACGACATTTATTAGAAATTTGTTTCTTACCAATGAATCAATCACCATATGAAAATTTAGCTGAAAATTTACAATTACATCATTCCATTGCATTTATTACAAATTTAACAATTTATCAAAAATTTATTAATACATGTATATTAAATATAAAAAATTCTGGTTTATATCATAAACAATGGAATGATACAATATTAAATTATAATAAATTTAATACAAAACATATATGGTGTAAAACAATTGATTGGAGACAAGAATCAACAAATATCCCATGTGGTCTTAGTATTACTGAATATATGGTAAGTAATATTAATAATTTAAATTATTTTATTTTCATAAAGTAATTTTATTTTTGGCATCATTTTTTTTTTTTTTTGATTTCTTATTGTAGTGTGAAAGTTGGCTGGATTCTGCGGTAGTGCGCTCAAAGATATTGTTCACAAACGAGTTCATGATTGACATTGTTTTCGATGAGATACTAGTGTCGAATAGCTTTATAGATGTAGATAGCATAACATTTTCCTCTTTCTTCTTTTCTTCTTCTTCTGCTTATCAAGCTTCAACGCTTTCTTCGAGGCCTTACCAGACACAACTTTAGGAGGCATCATTTTGTAGATAAACGTGTACCAAGAAAACGAAGAAGAGGAGCAAAGAGATTTATGCTAACTACATCTATAAACTTCTTCGTCAGGTTCCTGATACTAGTATCTCGTCGAAAGCAATGTATATCATTTTTTGTTTCTTAGTTAGTGATAAACAATTAAAAGTAGTTTACTGGAAACACTATTCGATTTAGAATTTTTTTAGTAGTTATCAGCATGATATACATGGTATTCGAAAGAACTAATGATTTCTAATGGATTCCATTTTATCTTATCAAGTGTCACTGTCTATGATATTATTATTGAGCTATTAGGATTGTGATTGACCTATTGTAGAACTGAGATAGTTATAACTGATTGATTACTAAGTAGGACTAGATAAACATGACATTTGTTCCTACTTAGTGATCAATCACCTGCATCATGCCTGTCAGACAAGCTAATGTTTACAATAATTCAATGGTTTAATAATTAGGTAACACTCTAAAGAAGATGAATGTATTTGTAAAATCTCAGCGAAAGAATTTGAAGTTTCGCCTGGAAATCTGGTCCAAGCTTTTTCAAGGAAAATATAATCAAACAACAAAATTATCAAATCTAAATAGGTACATGGTTCTCTGGTTTACTGTATACTGAATAAGACATCCAATCAACGTGAACCTTGTTTAAAGTAGGCATTTACATCAGTGTTTAAGAGACATGTGGTGTGAAACGGAAAGTGTCAAGATAATAAACTGAAATTTGAAGTACTTCAAAGAATCAAGATCATCAACTTACTAGGAAACTATTTAAATCAACTGATGAGGTCTATCCGAAACAAAACAACCATTCATCATTTCATTGCTTATTGTTAACCTAATTTATTTTATATTACTAAGTAAACATTTTATTCTTAATATTATTTTTTATAAGAAAATCTCTTAGTAACTATAGAAAGCATAATTTAACTAATTCTTAACTAATTCAATAATACGTCAACAACAACAACAAAAAACAAAATATGATTTTAACATTTAAACTAATTTAATTTATTATGTAATCAGGTTGTTTTCTGTATTCTAATTGATCTTGTTTGCATTGGTAATAAGTAAATTTTCCAAGCCGATTTTTTCTATATTTATTTCATTAGTATGATAAGAAAATGTTAATTAACACACACACACATACACACTACATACATACACATACATACATACATATGTATATTAATATGAAATAAAAGTACACAATTCACTTTCCAAGTTACTTCATTTCTAAAGTTGATATAAGAATAATGTCATAAAATTATTGAAGATAATTGACTTAGTTTTAAATCCTATAAAGAGATTGGAATTCATTCAAGATTATTGAAGAATGCTAACTACTACAAGATCGACATTTCTGAATTTCTTACCGATTAAATTGAACTCCGTAAAATCTAAGTATAGTGTATACAATGTTAAGTAACTTAGATTAATGGTCATACTGAAACTTGAATAATAGAATAGATTATATTTGTTACCAAGGCTTAATGAGTTAATAATAAAGTGAATGAAATTTTTGGAAAGTGTATTTCTCGATAATGCAATGAGAATTATGTGATATATTTATGTAATACATTTCGAACAATTTGATTACACATATACTTGTTAAGACATATTTATATGAAAATTAAAAGGTCAACTAAACAGGTTAAAGGTAATTCGAAATGTATTACTCAAATATATCACATAATTCTGATAAACTTTGTCTTCTCATTGCATTATAGGGATCAATTGTTTTAAAGTATGTATCAATTCGTTTATTTATTGATTAGATGTTGAACGGCACGTTGTAAATGCTTAAAGTGTCATAACCTGTGACCTTGTGCCGTATTAATACATGACGTAATCATACCATCAATTAGAGAACAGAGCTTTAACGACCGGTCTACTGGCGCATAAAACGCGTACGAGTAGTCTACAGTACTTATCGGTCCTGCTTTCTGCCTAGCCCCGTCTGTTAAGTCTAGAACACCAATCATTTATTTCAAACATACTCGGTTCATATACAAACCAAACACACCACATCGTACCATAAAATAGCAAACAACATTTGTACAAGAATTAGTCAAAAGTGAGTGTGAATGTCGGAGACTGTAGTTAACAGACTGAGCATAACTCAAGAATGGTAAATCGTCTAATAATAATCTATGGGTCAAAATAAAGCTTTTCATAAGAGGAACATGAATATGCATAGTTTAGTTACTGTATTTTTTAGTTAAGGTGGAGTGAGACGATACAAAAAACTGGAAGAATTTTAAGTGGAGTGCCTTTCTTTGAGCCTTGCAGTTTACTCAAGAGTTTACTCAGAATTTCTTCACATAATTCTAACAATTTATTCTGTTTACCTTGAATTTGATTGATTTTTGTCGATAATTGTCCTATCATCATTTGCACAGTTGTTTTGACTATCGTTTCATTTGACCTGATTCGTGACTTTATGATTGTTTTGATATTTTTTTCCGGTTGATAAATTGAATCCATTTCGATGTATTTACTGATCACTGATTGATCGGCGTGCCAAGTTTCTGAAAATTCTTGAATTTTTTTAGTGTTATGTTTGTCCATAATTTCAACATTTTACTGTAATTCTACGATTGTTTGAGTGTTTTGATATAACCAGAGATATATTGTGGCGTGTAACATACAGTTGTTGTTAATTCAGCCGAAGAAGAACAAAGAGGCCATCGTGTCCGATACGATATTTCTTGTAGTTGATGTGGTTCTATTCGTTGATTATGTTCGGCTTTTCTTCATGTCATTTTAACTTAAGGCTTGCATAAGATAGGTTAAAGTGATTTTCCTGGTTTAAGCATTATGCCTAGTAAGAATAGACTGAATAATTTTGTTCGAATTTCCATTCTACCTATTATATATGGTAGGATAATCTGTTTGTTGATAACCACTTTTTATGTCATTCTTATTGATGTGTTTAGTTCCCAGAAGTACAAAAAAAAGTTTGACAATTTAAACATCCATTTCAGAACATAAAACTTCACCAAAATCGTCCTCCTGACATACGAATTTTGTTTTGCTTGATATTTACATTTTACTTTGTACAATTTCACTGATACTTTAAACGTAATCTGAGTAAAAATAGATCCCATTGTGAAACATTCAGAAGTAGCGTGTATTCAAAAACTTGTTTATTATAAGTTTGAAACTTCCCAATGGTGAATTCTTAACGTCTTGATACTGGATGAAACCTAGAACTCTTATATCTTACAACTAACAATGTATACAACTGAGTTCAAACTTAATTATAGACTATCAATTTAGGTGTTGTGGAGATTGTCAAGATTTTGATTGAGATCATGAACCGATTGATGTTAGAGGGTCGTTGAAAACCTGGAAGCATTGGACGGCTGTTTCGTCCTATTGTGGGACTCCTCAGCAGTACACATTTTTCAAAGATTCTCCAAATAACGTTTATTGTTAATACAAGATAACTTCAGATTAAGTTCTCAGAGTGAATAACATTCATTGTACAGACATTATTTTGATTACTTTAAATGATCTTTCAGTAAAAATTACTTTATTGAAAGATAGTTATAGTAATTATAAAATGCATATGTATTTCATTGTTCCATATTAAAATGTAACAATTTTACCATCTAAATAGAATATGATAACATCAGATCATTGATTATTTTTATTATCTCAGTAGTTTATTGAAATAATAATTGCTTACGTTGAATAGTTCATGTACTTTAGTCAATAAATTATCTGGTTATAAACATGATGTACTTAAATTTGTTATGTAACAATAACTTTGAATACGTAATTCATCATTTAGATATAAATCTTCTGAAGGCTTATTATTGAATTCGTATTATTAGGTGACTAGATATACTGAATGTCATTGTTTAATGGTGACACATTTTCTATGATGAAACAGTTGTATTAATTAGATTTGCTTGACGTTATATGATTTTCGAAGATTGGAGACTATATGCATAAGTTCTTGTTCTTATCGGCACTCAACAGATAGAGATATTTAGTCTTAAACAAACCACAACAAAATTGAAATCCTGATTACTACTATCTAATAAAATCTAATGATTAGATGTGTTAACATTCTCTAGAAACCAATGATGATTAATTTAATTTGTGATGGTTTGAATTATTCCATTGATGATATATTTTACAGAAATTTGATTGGTATATGTGCATTCTGTATGGGTTGGTTTGATATTATCCATTATGATAAAATGTAACATGGAATAGGAAAAATCTGGCTAGAACTGGAATCCAGAACACCAGTTTCACTGTATTTTGTACTCGTTAGCATAGGCTGACCATATTTCAATAAAATATTAATAACAGGATAATCGAAAAGCACTACAAATTTGGTTACAACTTCATAATATAGATTGGACAAGGGAGTAGCGATTTGGGATCAACAACTAAGTGAATAACGCGTCGGCGTTTGCTTGACCATTTTGCAATGTGACTGATGGATAAATGATTGACATCTGAGATGGACCAACTCCACTAGCCATCGCTTCTCATTAGGACTCCTTGGATTACCTTTCGAAATCAGTTCCTGCTGAATACACAATTATTATTAGTGAGTTGGTTATTTGTGGAGATTACTGAATTTCCATACTGTACATTACGGACGAATCTTTTTTAGACAACCAATGAAGACAGGAAGAACTATAGAGCCGTTTCCTCTTAATATGGGACAAACCAGGAGTGCACATCTACGACTCAAAAGTAATGTAAAGTATAAAAATCTAGTCATTTCCATAAGGTTTGCTTTACGACTTTTAATTATATATATATATAGTTATCAACATTTTACTCAGCAGTGTACACGATCACTTCATGTATTATTGTTTATAATAATGCAATCATATTTTCTCTCTTTTGTAGACTGGTGATTTATATACTGGTTACTTGGCTATAATTACAAACCAAGAATATCGTAACCATGAAGTTGATCTCTTGTTTCAATTTACTTGTAAAACGAATAATGATGTACCGCATCGGGTACCTGGACAAGTTTTCGAAAGGTAGGGACACAGTTCTATAAAATACACTACACATTTATGAACAAAAGAGTTAGTTTAATACACGGACTAACTATGGCTAGAGAGTCATTGTGAATCAACTTGCACAGGGCAGCAGTTTTGTCTTAGTATTTGTTCTTCCATATAACACATGATCACAACAATGTGATAAGCGCCTAACTTTTGAACAACTGATAGTTGATTAGTATCGTGTATTCATTGAAGTTAGGAATGTAAACCATAGGATAATAAATTAATATTCTGACAGTCGAGCACACTCTGAGAGACCGAATGTCCTATGTTTAATCTCTGACACGATAGTGGATACTCACTGCCGGGAAGTACTGTACTAATTCAAAGCAGATGTCCATTGTTTTAACAAACTATAAATATGGAGCTCCTAACCTTTGCTTATTTTTCTCCAGCAGTTAAAAATACAGTGGATTACAAATCGTGAGTGCCATTTTAATTCGTTTTTTTCATACAGTAGTAGCTTACTAATATTTATCATAATGAATATTGTAAGAATAATTATTATGGTACTCAACACTCAGTTTTCTATATTGACCTTGTTTTTTTAAAACTTTTCTTGAAATACACTTAGTATTGTTTGCTTGCATTTTCCCATTTATTATAACTTGTGGGTTTGTGCCCCTATCAATGTATAACGTAATGACACTGCCAATTAGAGAATAGTGCTTTATCGACCGGACCAATGATGCATAAAACTCGTACGAGCAGTCTAGAGTCCCAATCAGTCCTGCTTCTTGTTACAACGTTGGGCTTCCATGTTTACACGTATGGGACGTGTCTATTGTACGGGACTTCAACACAACTCAGATCGAGAACACGTGATTAACCTGACTATAACGTAAATATATTTCAACACCAAAACCCGACACAATCCAACAACAATGAACAATCAACAATAATAATTATAAGGAAAGGGGAATATATAACTCATCTGACACCTGTCAAACTATCTATATGTCTGACTAAGCAAACAACCAATCATTATCATTCTATCCCACACATCACTTCCTGACTAGTCCCGCCTGTTAATTCCAGAACATCAATATCAGCCTCTATAATATGAATCATTTATTTCAAACATACTCGGTTCATATACAAACCAAACACACCACATCGTACCATAAAATAGTAAACAACATTTGTACAAAAATTAGCCAAATGTGAGTGTGAATGTCGGAGACTGTAGTTAACAGACTGAGCATAACTCAAGAATGGTAAATCGTCTAATAATAATCTATGGGTCAAAATAAAGCTTTTCATAAGAGGAACATGAATATGCATAGTTTAGTTACTTAACAATTATACGACAAAATTATACGTATAGTATTAGTCCATAAATAGATTCTAACAGTTGCCATTCATTATTTTCATCGGATATAACACTATTGTTGTTTAGGTCTGCAATTGATCAGTCTCTTGCTAACCACAATCTGTCTTTGCTTATAAATTTCCTTGAAATATATTTTTTTAAAGATTTTATAAATTTTTTGACCATAAACACACTACATTGACTGAATTAAACCTTTACATAAATCAAGTCGTCTTAATACCTAAACAAACTCATAAAAAAAACCCCGGAAGCTACGACATCCAGTGAATAAATTCATTGGAAGATTATACACACTCAAAAACAACAACAATAACAACAGACGGTTGGGATAACAATGGTTTATTATTTACTATTCAGCTAAAATGTATTTTTCTACTTCTGTGCAAATTTTTATTTCTTTTCCATTCATTCGGTTGAAACACAGATGAAATAATCTCATGTCAAATGAAAATATATTACAACTTAGATGAAAGGAAATACCTATTCTCTGTCTGTCTATCTATTTGTCTGCCTATCTAACCGTCTGGTTATCTGACTGTCTGTTTTTCTATTTCCTTTTTCATTTTTTTTTCTCATATGATGACCAACAATAGTGCGCATAAATTGTCATTTTTTTTCCCTTTTATTTTCCGGAATATAATCAGTTGTAGACGTGGTATAGTTAGTTACATTTAGTACATCTTAGAGATGTAAGTTCATAAATGGATACCCGTTAACATAAACAGTAATATATAAATTTATATACAATCAGATAGAATAATCAAACGAATTGGTATTCAATAACTTGACATTATCAACAACTTGTTTTACCATTTGCAATAAAAAAACTTTTTTATTAAAAAAAGTTAACTTTCGTATAAAAATAGTCTCATCTATATATATAACAATATAGTTCATAGTTATCTCTAGCTTTGAAATGAATTTCTTAATGTATCTCTTAAGAAAGTGTAAGTAACGCGATCAGCTACTCAAGAGTGTTATATCTCGAAGGTTATTTTCTTAAATATACCGGATATAACTGAGCACTAGAACGCCAAAACTCTTCCAAGTCGCAGGGAGAAGACAGAAGACTAATGAAAGGTATATCATTCCAAACAGTGTCCACCTTAAATAAGAACTTTCGTCTAAATTTGAACGAATAGTTTCACAACATTTGGGCGCCGAGTTAATGTGAGACATTTTGTTTTCAAAACACATGTCTCTTACATACTGATGTAAATGCCTACTTCAAACAAGGTTCACGTTGATTGGATGTCTTATTCAGTATACAGTAAACCAGAGAACCATGTACCTATTTAGATTTGATAATTTTGTTGTTTGATTATATTTTCCTTGAAAAAGCTTGGACCAGATTACTAGGCAAAACGTTGGATTTACTTCAAATTCATTCTCTGAGATTTTACAAATACATTTTCCTCTTTAAGTGTCCACCTTATTCTCTAAGTCAGCATAGTCTGTACCCATGATCACTATGTCATCGAGATAGGCCACAGTACCAGGAATATCTTGTAACACAGTATCCATAACTTGCTGGAAGATTGAAGGGGCGGTTTAAAGATGCCCAACACATTAAAAGACTAATATTTGATTGAAGAATATTCTTTTCGATAAATTCTCTTCACGTTCTACAATTCATATATCCAAATTAATAATCCGAAAATTGACCAGGTTATAGGTAAAGTACATCGTTCACATGCTTTAAACGATGTACTCTAATAAAATATAAACTATCTATTATAATAAGCAGAGATGGATGCTGACTAGCAGTGGGATTCAGGCCGCGCTTTTCATTCTATTTGGGACTGGTCAGCCGAAAGAACCTGCATCCCAGAGTTGATGTTTATTTCAAGACTTGAACCCAATACAAAAATGGATATCTATTGTAATTTTTGTTTTTCAATAATTTAACAGTTGGTATCACTTTATGTGATGAAATATAACGGTGAGACCATAATTTATGGACGAACCAATCAGATATTTATTTATTCATTTGTCTAAATAGCATTTTAGCATTTGAGCTGATGTTAGTTCGTGATGAAAACCCTAAATCTAATTCCTAAGTTAAACAATCAACTGTAAATTATCATTATAATTCCTCATACTGTTTTCTAATCCCGGTCCTAACTCGTAGGTAAATATTCTCATGGTCACTTTAGAGTAGCTCAAAGTTCGTTCATAGACTATAGTCTCACCCGTGATACAACTTAATCGTTTATTTTGTTATTATAAGATGTTAACAGTAATCGTATCTAAAGTATTAACGTTAATGTGAAAATAGTCAGATGTATGTCTAGTTGATCCGATCTTTTATTCTTCCAATCAGTCTCGAAAATCTATTAAGTGTTGAGTAATCAACAAGTAATCTTTTCATATCTTATATTCATTATAATAACTATCATTAAAATATGTATATTCCTGATGAAAATGTATCTTCATACCGTTGAAAGAGTTCATTCATCATCAGTTAATTTCAAAATAATGTATGTTTCTTAATTGGATCATCCTAGAGGTGGTTTAATGAGATCTACTGAAGAATTTGTGTATCAGGCAGGGTCTCCAGATACCAAATTACATGATTACATTACGTCGTGAGATAATTAAAGTTACAAAAGTAAACCGTTGAATGTCAACTTAGTGATCAGAAGGCTAAGAACTCACAACTAGACCTAAAAGTTCATAGTTTGACCTCAGGTGAAGTTCTTTTTGCCTAGTTTAGAGGAGTCATATACTAGAACAGCTACATAAGCCCAGTTTATGATGTAAACCACAACTATGACTCTCTAGTAATTTAAATTTGATACTGTTTATGGATGCTTGTTTCGTTTTATGATAATTCTCATCAATGAGTGATGTCAACTAGGGAATTAGTAGAAACAGTATTAATTGGAAAGTTGTAATCCCAGATTTTGTACCGTTCTGTTGACATGTAAAAATAACCTTAAACGTGTTGCAATAATATTTTATGAAAGAGCTAAGCAAATACTATCTCTTTTATTTTCACACTGAATTAACTTATTCATATGGCTGCAGAGCAATTCTTCTTATAGCTATTATCAGTTCATGATGAAAACTCCAATCTCAAATCTCTGATCCGTACCCTAAATACGCAACCCTAGCCAGGAACAATGTAGAGACTATAAAATATCTATTTCAGTCCTTATAAGGGTTCTAGGATACAGATAAATATAATCCATTTGTTTTCTGATAGACTATTAACTGGCTATTATTTTGTCATGGTTATTTTAAACTCATTCTTTCTGTAATTACTAATATCTGAAATAAAAATGCAAATTGAACTATTTGTTTTGATCATTTGAATTTATCAGTATTGGAATTTGTGGAGATCGTAGTATTTTAACGGTCGAATTCACAAGTCGATCTAAGCTAGACAACCATTGACGCACTGGACGGCCATTTCGTCCTGGTTAGAACTCTTCAGTAGTGCGCAACCCTGATCTCGCACGAAAGACTCAAACTCAGGACCTTCAGTTTCGCGCGCTAACACCTAACCTTCAGACCATTGAGCAGTCATTCAACAGTTTTAATGTCTAACTTCAATTGATCCTTGATTTTTAGCAACCCTTCATCCATTGTCTGAGGTTGATAACTGTCTCAAACCTGACCTGGACTGAACTTCACT